TCTCTGAAAACCAATTTGGGGCAAAACCCTGCGGGCTCCCGGGTTTACGATCCGGAGGTGCCGAGACACAGAGGAAAGGAACCCCTCCAAGTGTGTCCCCCGTGTCCCACCCCCCTAAACCCCCGGTGCTGGGGACACCCCCGTGCTGGCATCGCCCCCGTACTGTCACCCACCTGCAGAGCCTCTCTAAAAACCAATTTGTGGTAAAACCCTGCGGTCCCGGGCTACGAGTCCCGGTGTCGGGCTACGATCCGGAGGTGCCGAGACACAGAGGAAAGGAACCCCTCCAAGTGTCTCCCTCGTGTCCCACCCCCCCAAACCCCCGGTGCTGGGGACACCCCCGTGCTGGCATCGCCCCCGTCCCGCCACCCACCTGCCGAGCGGCGTTTTCGGCCGTCAGGTTGGTGTTGTAATTCCAGCTGGCAGAGACGCTCTCGAAGAAGACGAGCTCGGCCGTGGTGTTGTAGTCGCTGGCGAAGGAGGCGGCCCCTTGCTCGGTTTTGTCATGCTCGGGGGGCTCCAGGTCGGGCCGGAGGGCACCTGCCAGGCTCAGCCAGAGCAGCAGCCCCAGCGCCGGGGGCATCGCGGAGGGAGAGGAGCGGAGAGGAGCGCAGCGGAGCGGGGGCCCCGTTCGGTGCCTTCCGAGACGGCTTTGCCTCCGCTGCCGGCTGCTTATAAACCGGCAGCTTTCGCGCAAACCCTGCCCACCGAGCCTGCCTCCCCTCGCAGATAAGAGCGGAGCGTTCCTCTGTGCCTCCCAGGATTGCGGGAAGGAGCGGGGAGAGAGCGCTGCCTCGGGGGGCAAAGTCCTTTCAGCTGCCGGGAGGGAAGGGGAAGGGGCTGGGATGGGAGGGAGGGAAGAGGATGGAGGAGAATCGAGGGAAAGGCAGGGAAAAGAGAAAGGAGGAAGGTTGGGGTGGATGGGGTGGGTGAGAGGCAGCTCCAACCCTGCAGGGTCGYGGTCCCTTCCTGATTTGGGGATGGGGTTAGCCGGGCCATGGGGTTTGGCAGGACATGTCCCCACCCCGGCATCACACCACGGACACCCCTGAGCAACACTCCAACCACCTGCTGTGGGCCAGCAGGGCGAGCAAAGAGGGGAAACCCTTCCCATGGGACACACCCAAGGTCCACCTCACGCTGCTTCCTGCCAAAGCGATCCCCTTCCCAAAACAACCWCATTTTTCAAAGAAACAGAGAACTTCTCCTGGCTGTGAAGTCACATCACATCACAGCGAGTGTTTTGGGCTTGGAAAAATGAGGCTGATGACAAACAAATAACAGAAAGTTCCTTCAAAATGAAAGCCAGACCCATGTTGGTGGGTTTGATAAGTCATTTGTTTTGTTTTRTTTTGTATTTGTTTAACTAAAGCCTTTTCCCCTAGGGCCTGGCCTCAGCCATGGGAATGGCTGAATTTGGGCCCTGTGCTGGCTGAGCTCATCACTCCTTGTTGGAGCAGCCACCCCATCGGGACACACCTCAGAGAGAGCTTCTTTTGGGGGAAACAGAAGGAAATCCTTGKTTTTTTGTCCCTGCTGGGAGCTGTGGAGCAGCCGGACACCATTGTGGCCTGTAGGGACCATGTGGTCACTCAAAAAAGGACAAATCCTGCTGTCWGCACTGGGGACCTTATGGGGTGTGCACAGCCATTAAAAAATAAAAAAGCACTGCAATCCTGTCTGTTAAACCCCACTCCAAAAATCACAGCTTCRCACCCTCCACTTGCACAGGCTGATGTGGGCACACAAAAACCCTTCATCCCCCTGACCCCAAACCCACGGGGGAGCACAAAAAGCCCCAGCACCACCTGCAATCCTGGACATCCCAGAGCTGGCCACAATGCCCACATCTGCCTCCAACCCCCCTTGCTGACTACTTCCCCACCGGCCACAGCTCTCTGGAAAGTCCAGTTTACTGGGAAGCTGGAAAAAAAAAAAAAAAAAAGGTTGTTTTGGCTCCAGTTTGTCTGGAGACCGAGGGCCAGCGAATGGAGATTTCCTGCCCCGTTGCAGCCTCCATTCCCAGCCGCGCCAGGGAGGGGTTTTCCCGGCTCCGGGTCGTGATGCAGCCTCTGGCACCAGCGGGAGTTTCAGGAGAGAATCGAGTCTGTGTGATGTTCCTGGTATCCAGAAATCCCAGCAGATGAGATCTTCTCCAATGATTTGTCCGATGGATGAGGCTGCAGGAAAAGGGCAGCTCTTCTCTGYCATTTCACACAGGAGCATCTTCCAAGGGTGAAGAAGGGCTGATGCTGCTGCTGCTGCTGGACTTTGTGGGGCAGAAGAAGCTCCTCTTGAGGGCTCCATCCCCGAGGGTGCCCTCAGCTTTGTGTCATCCTATCCTGGAAAATTCCTGCTGGAATCAGGCAGAGAAAAAAACCTCATGAAGGAAAATGCAAGGTGATGTGGCTGCAGGTCCAGGAAGGTGGCTGAGATGCCTGCAGCTCTCAGGTGCTGTCACTGCTCCCTCTGTGCCACCCCAAATCCATTCCGTGCTCCAAAACCCACCAAGGACGGGCTCAGAGTGACCCGTGGGCATCCTGTGCAGCAGAGTGACCACTCCCTGTCCTCTCCTGRCTGCCTGATGGACATCCATCCTCTCCCAGCYTGCAGGGTACCCATGGCTTCCAGCRCMWCRSACCAGAGGGGMAGGAGATGCTGAAMAMCGYGAGAAACGCGTTGCCACGGAGACGGATGCGGAACGGAGCGCATGGGGACAGGGATGTGGCATCTCCAGCAGCTGCCCTGGGCCACGGGATGCTCCTCCTCATGGCTTGGCAGTGCCACCATCTCTCGTGGAGACTTTGTCCTGCCCCTCCCATCACGCGTGGCATGGCCGGGMTGTCACCGCGGCGCGTTGGTGACACCGAGGAGCGCCACTCACTCACAGCATTTTGAGTCTGTTCTTTAGTTTGGCAGATCTGCAGAATATCCCTGCCCGCAGTCAGCAGGGATGGAAAGGGTTCTGACTGCCCAAACCAAAGAAATGAGGAGTTTTGACTGTTTTTGCCCGTGATGTGATGGCAGAGGGTGAGCGGGTGTGTGGAGCGAAGGAGCAGAGATTTGGGRATGGTCCCKGTGCTGCCKGGGAGGATTTGGTGATTTATGTGGRTGAATCCCAGCCCTAAGGCCTCTGGCTGGGGATGCTCAGGTTATTTYCCCCTTCTTTCATTTTATAAACCTCATTTTTGGCTTCCCCATCCCAACATTTCTCAAAGGCTTCACGGTTTCTTCATAATTTGTCTGATCCATCTCTCTCAAAAAACCGAGGTGAAAAAAAATTATTCCCTTTATGTGGAGAAATTATTCCTCCCTGATTTAAACCCCAAAAGACCTTATTTTAATAGTCCAGAGCACCTGAGTGTCACTTTTCCTGTGGTTTCACGGACGTGACAACTCCTGCACCTGTTGGTACAAATCACCGCATTGAGAATTTTTTTCCTCCCTCTCCAGACCYTGGATTTAAAGGCTGCTGCTTTATTTACTGACGAATTCAATCAATTATCATCGTGTATAATTCACTAAGCTGCTTTCCCAGCTGTGGTGACGCTGCCGTCAGGGAGAGGGTGGAAAAAAACACCCAACCAAGTCCAATTTTTTTCATCTAAACAAACAGCTTTTTTTCTGATCCTTAAAAAAAAAAAGCAAAAAATAAACACCCCAAGCAATCGGGTTTTTTGTTTTTTGCCGTGTATTTCAGACCTCTGATTGCTCAAATAATCTTTTGACCTCTTCTGCTAAAATAATTTGGACCTTTTCCCATGAGAGCTGAGGCTGGTGGAGTCCCTCGATGTCACCTGGATCTGGGGACTGAAATGGCAAGGAATTAATTGTTTTTCCCTAAATGTAAGAGGAATCCTTGCTCCTGCTGTCTGACTGTGAAAGGTTTCTGTCACCTGGATTTGGGGACTGAAATGGCAAGGAATTAATTGTTTTTCCCTAAATGTAAGAGGAATCCTTGCTCCTGCTGTCTGACTGTGAAAGGTTTCTGCTGAGCGGTTTTGGTGGCACTGTTTGGGGCAGTTTCCAGCTTTTCTCTGAATTTAAGGTGTGTCCAAAACCTTCTGTGTCCCCTCTGAGCGGGGATGGGGCAGCTCAGCTCAGCCCTGGGGCAGCGAGTGCTGCTTTATCAAAGTGCACACAGTGCAAAGCAGCAGAAAGCTCCTTATCACCATTTCCACCCCACCCCATAAAAACCCTTTCCAACACCCTGGTGCCCTGGGACAAGGGTTTATTGTCCTGGGTCAGGCCTGGGGACACACACGTGACCTGCACGGGGCAGATGAGGGGCACCGTGTGTTTTTCTGAGCAGCTCAGTGGGGTTGAGGTGAGTGGGAAGGGGATGGACACGTGGTTGGCACCATCACATCTCCTCAGCATCAATCCCAGTCTGGGAGCAGCGCCAGCTCCGGGATGTGTCCACTGCAAGGAGAGCCCTGAGGATGTGCTGTGACACTGCAAGGCCCTCAACGTTAGGGTTCCTAAATGTTTTTATTTAGTTTTATTTAGATTAATTAGATTGTTATTTATTTTGTTTAGATTTTATTTTATTCCCATGTTTTGGGAGCATCCTAAATGAATGTAAGACCCCAATAGTGCAGGATGGGTCGGGCAAACCATCAGGAGCATCACAGGGCAAGAATTTAAAACCTGGCCAGAAATCACTGCTAGCTCTTTGCCCTTCATCCGCCCTCCTTCATCCCTCCTCCCTCCACTTTAATTTCTCATCCTTCATCTCTCATCCTTCATTCTTTGCCCTTCATCTCTCATCTTTCACCACTCCATCTTTGCCATTCAGCTCGAGCTGGGCATGATACGGGGTGAGCAGAGAGGCCAAAGTGTTCCCTCTGCACCCATCAGCCCAATAAAACACAGCAAAGTCCATCGTTCCCCCCATCCCCCCCTTTCTTTAATAACCAAAAACAATCCCGGCCCCGAGGCGAGCGAGCGTGACTGTTCCAGGAGCATTAATCATCCTCCAGGAGCCCGTTATCGCCTCTGTTTATCCCAACTGCTGGTAAAAAATGGCCATAAACGCACCCTCAGCCTCCTCTGAAGGAGAGGAAGGGTTTGCAGGGCCGGTGCTGAGGAGGAGGATGGARGGGATTCATCGCTGCCAGGAGAATCAGAGCCTCTCCCAGATAAGGAGATTCTCCAGAAGCTTTGTCCCAGCTTGAATCATCCATTTTTCAGTCTTTACTACACCCCAGGGTGCTGGGGATCAACCCTCTTAATCCCAAATCACCCTCTTGGCAGCCACTCACAGCCCTTCCAACATGACTGTCATTTTTTCCTCTTTTATTTAGGGAAAAACAATTAATTTAGACCCAGGTTTGGGGTTTCACGTGGAACAGCAGCAGCTGAGGTTGTTTCAGGTGGCAGCTCGGCTCCTCTGAGGCTCTTGAGTTGCAATCCTCCTGCAAATTAGCATTTCTGAGGGATAAAATTTTGATTTAGGAAGGGATAAAAAAAAAAAAAAGCCAACCAAAAGGAGTTAGATCAGCAAAATGGTAATTCAATAATCTGTGGTGGAAAGAGGGAAGCTGCCCATGCCGGGGTGGGAGGAGCAGCTGGGCAAGGACAAGAGCTGCTGGTTTTACTGTGAATTATCAGTTAATGATGCTCTTATTGATTCCTGGAACTTGGACAAACCTGGAACAGCCCAGGACAAACCTGGAACGGGGGCCAGGCTCAGGCTGGAGAGCTGGAGCAGCACCTCCTGAGACGCTTCAACTCACTGATCTGGAACAAAACTGTGACTCTCCTGAGCAATCCTGAGGAGATCCTTGAATGCCTCTAAACATCCCTGAACATCCCCCAGGCAACCCTGAGCATCCTTGAACAGCAGCCCTGAGCATCCTCAGGCAGCCCTGGGCATCCCTGACCATCTCTGAGCCTTTTTGAACATCCAGTAACATCCCTGGACATTTTTTAGCAACTCTGAGCAGTTTTGAGCAACCCTGAGCATTCCTGGGCATTCTTGACCATCTCTGAGCATTTTTTGAGCAGCCAAGAACATCCCTGGACATTTCTGAGCATCCCTGGACATTTCTGACCATTTTTGAGCAGCTATGAACATCCCTGGACATTTCTGAGCATCTCTGAGCATTTTTGAGCAGCCAGGAAAATCTCTGGACATTTCTGAGCATCTCTGATCATCCCTGGACATCCCTGAGCATCCCTGAGCAGCCCAGGCACCCCCTGAACCCTCAGATCCACACTAGGACAGCCAGCCCTGGTTCTGGACTGGCACATCCCCACCCCWGCAGTTCCTGGAGGATTTCATCACCTCCAGCTCGTGGAAAACTCAGGCTGATTTAATAAAGCCATGATGCGATGCCTTTAATTAAAGAKCTCATTACAAATGGCTGCTGCTCCCTCGTAAGAGGAACTGAGCAGTGAAGGGATTCGTTTGTCCCCGGATCAGCCACCACCGTGGCCCCTCAGCAAAAACATTTTTTTTCCCCCCAAAAAATGGGGGAAGAGCCATTGTCCCTGCTGCGTGGACGGGACAGGATTCATTTCCATTTAATCCTGAAGGCTTCAGGGCTCTGCCCTCTTTCCTTGCCTGCTGGAAGTTGAGCTAGTTCAGCTGGAAATGTGTTTATAAACATTTCTGAAGCTGTTTGGTATCGGGTTACGCAGCGCTGCTCTCAGCAGGGCCGAGCTTTATGTCCTGCCAAGAATCCCAAAGGATGAATCCCCAAATCTCACCCCCTTTGAGGGTTTTCCAAGGGTCTCATCTGGGCTGTGGGGTGGGGGGAATCCTCCCTGTGCCCTCCCAGCCCCAAAGCCAGCCCATCCCAGCCCCACRGCTCAAGGTTTGCAGTTTATGGTGGTTTTTATGGCCTCAGCAGGTGACTGTGCTAAACCAGCGATAAAGGCCCAGGTGGTGGCAGTGCCACMCGGCACATCCCGTCCCTGCCCGGGGTGGTGGCTCTGGGACTCTGCCCSGGCTGCAGCAGGGCTTGGACT